AACACAGCCTCAAGACGGAACCATAAGGAGAAACAGACCACGCCATAATCATAGTGGGAGATATTTTTATACACTACCATCTCAGTAATTGCTAGAACAGGCAGATAAAAATAAGCAGGGATTCAGAATATTTGGACCACACAATGAACTTTCTCTACCCCATGGATATATGCAGAGTCTTATACCCTATGGCTGCAGAAGACACCTTTTCACGCAAATAAGGGACATTTTCAACACGGTGGGCCAAAAGAAAATTACAGTAAATGTCAAAGCGTTAAACGTGGAGCATATATTCTCTGGCTATAATAGAATTAAGCTAGAACTCGATGGCATAGAGATAACCAGAAATTAAGAACTGAGCTTCTAATTAACTTTTGAGTCAAAGAATGAATCAAACTTGAAATTAGAAAGTATTTAGAAGCCAACAATAAGGAAAGTTCTACATAATAAGGCAGTTCTTAGAAGGAAATGAAGTCTTCGACGAATATATTGGAAAGGAAAATAGGTTGAAAATTCCATCTTAAGAAGTTAGAAAAGTGTAAAATATGTAGGACAGAGGATGCAGTCAAGATAAGATGCAGGATTCCTTGAAAGAGAAAACACCATTGAAGAAGAGGAGATCGACAAGCTAAAAGTTGGTTCTTCGGAAAGGCTAAATTGATGACCTTTGGCAAGGCTAATAAGATGAGAGAAAGCACAATTTGTAGTATTTTACCATTTTTAAAGAAAGAAAAAGGTAACACAAGTACAGGTGATATAGATTCTTAAAATATAACGGCATAGCATTCATGACTTTATGCCAAGAAAATTTGAAAATTCAGATAAGGGAAATTTTTAGAAAAATATAACTTATCAAAAACCAATTTGAGAAACAGAAAACCTGACTAGTCCCAGAGCCAATAAGAAAATTCAGTCAGTAATGAAAAATCTCGACCGCAGACGGCCTCATTGGTGAATCCTACCCACTCTATAAGGAATAAATAATTCCAATCTAACCCAAAGATTGGGTGTGGAGGAAGAGGACCATTTCTCACCTCTTTTTATTAGAATCAGCACAACCTTGATACCCAGATGCTAAAACCCAGCAAAGGAATGTAGGGAGGAAAATTACAGGCCAAGTATTACTCATCAATATGGACTCAAATTTTAAGCAAACTATTAACAAACTGGATCTTCCAATGTATTTAAAAAACGTATCACAATCAAGTCGGGTTTACCCCAGAAAGGCAAAGTTGATTTAACAGTAGAAAATCAATTAATATAATTCACCACTTTAACACATTTAAGGACAAAAATCACTTGATTATCTTAAAACATGCAGAATAATTGTCTGATAAAATTAAACATCCCTTCATGATGGGTACTCTGAACAAAGGAAACTTCCTAAACTGGTAAAGTTGTCTTTTTATCTTTCAAGAAACAAATATTAGACTTCGGGAAATATTGAAAGCACTCCCTTTGAAATCAAAAAACCAGCAAGGATGTCTGCTATTAACACTTCTTTTCAACAGCTTACTGGATGTCCTGATTCGCACAATAGTGTAGTAAAAAGAACCAAATGGTGTAATGATTAGGAAAAAAAAGAAAGAAAACTCCTTATTTGCATATGACATGATTGTGGTAAACATTTTAAGGGATTATATAGATAAATCAGAATTAATAAGAATTGTCTGGATGCAAAAATACTAAATATCCAAAAAAAAAAAAAAAAAGCCAACAGAGCAACAACCTGGAAGAATACATTTAGAAAGAGATTTCATTTAGAATAGCATAATGAGCTAGGAATAAATCTAACAAAAGACGGAGAGAATTCCTTATGGAAAAAATTATAAAACTCTATGGAGAGATTATACAACTGCTGAAAGCTTTAAAAAATGGGAAGTGTGCTGTTTTCATAAGTCAGAAGACTTCATAATGTAAAGGTTGCATTTCTTCCCAAACTGATACATAAATTATTACAGTCCCGGTAGAAAGGCCAACAGGCTCGTGTGCGCATGGGGATGTCACTTGGCAAGTTGATTCTAAAATGAATATGGAGGTTCAGGGGCCGACACATTCTTAAAGAAAGGAAACGAGGGGCGCCCGGGGGGCTCAATCGGTTGAGTGTCTGACTTCGGCTCAGGTCCTGATCTCACAGTTCGTGGGTTCGAGCCCCGCGTCGGGCTCTGTGCTGACAGCTCTGAGCCTGGAGCTGCTTCAGACTCTGTGTCTCCCTCTCTCTCTGACCCTCCCCTGCTCACGCTGTCTCTCTCTCTCTCTCAGAAATAAATAAAACATTAAAAATATTTCAAATAAAAAAAGAAAAGACAGGAAACGAGGCGGGTGACTTGCGTTATGGACACAGATACTCTCAAGGCAACTGCGGTAATTAGGACACGTGGTTGGTACAAAGACAGAGCAGTGATTAATGCAGCAAGGATTTGAATGACGGGAGAGGAGGCAGTGCTGCTCTGAGAGGGAGCAAAAGGCAAGAAAGAAGACATGGCATCTTCATTTCTTCCTTCTTTGCTTTTCCCCCTCCTTTCTTTCCTTCCTGCCTTCAATCAAGTGTTTACTGAGTTCCTACTATGTGCTGGGCCTTGGGATAGAACGGCAGGCAAGGAAACCCTGGGTTTTGTGTCACGAATAACCCGGGTAAAACGGGTGAATCTGCTGGCAGACGCCAACTCTAGGGAATGTGGCTGGGGAGGGCCTCTCTGAGGAGGTGAGGCGTGGGCTGAGAATGAATGGTCTAAGTAAAGACAGGCGAAGAGCGCTCCGGCTCAAGGGAAGGAGTGTGCACAGGCCCAGAGGCAGGAAGGCTCTGCCACACTTTGGAGGCCGGCACAAGGCCCTGGATGTCGTTCTCAGAGCAACGGGGGACACGGAGCAGTCCCTCGTAAGCGATGCGCTTCGCCCAGCACGATGGTAACGGTAGGAGAAGGGTGTGCCCGCGTGTGCGCGGCCGGCCGGCGGGAGTGTGTGCAGCTGTGTGTACCGCCCGCTCTGTGCTTCTGAAAACTCTAACTGTTCTAAGAACTAAAGCCTGTGTAAGAGCTCTGGGCGGTCTGGGCGGTGTGAGGTTTTGGGGTAATGTCCCCAGCTCGGGTGTAGGCACGGCAGAGGGGAGGTTTGGCTTTAACCTCAGTGTTTGGCGGGATTTTGCCAAAGACAAAAATGTGAAGCGCAAGGGGCAAAAGGGGGTTGGATTTGTTTCGAGGGCGTAACAGTCCTAACGGACCATGGTCTCTAGGCCAGGTGATGAGAAGTGGGGAGACGGCGGAGGGGCCCCCAGCAAAGCACGGGGGTGCTGGCTGTAGGTAGGGAACGGCGGGTGAGCAGCACATCAGGGGCAGGGAGGTGGGGGCCGAGGGGCAGGCGCCTGGAGAATTCCGTAGGCCCTGGCTGTGGAGGAAACTTGCCTATTTGCGGCTGTCTGAGAATAGAGGCTTCGCAGAATCAGAGCTAAAGAAGCATGTAGACTTTAAAACACTGAGCTTGTGGGGCGCCTGGGGGGCTCGGTCAACTGAGCGTCCGGCTTCGGCTCAGGTCATGATCTCACGGCTAGTGAGTTCGAGCCCCACGTCAGACTCTGTGCTGACAGCTCAGGGCCTGGCGTCTGCTTCGGATTCTGTGTCTCCCTCTCTCCCTCTATGTCCCTCCCCCAACTTGCACTCTGTCTCGCTCTCTCAAAATATAAACATTAAAAAAAAATTAAAAAACCCACTAAGCTTGTATTTCCCCAAGGGTACCAAAAATGGTCCTATTTTATTAGGAAACTAACTTGCGGCCCTTTCAGGGGATAGCGAGTATGGAATCTTCTTCTCTCAATGTTTGTGCATGGGTGTCCCCCATTGGCCATTAACTTAGGTGCCTGTCTCTTGATACCGTTTTCTAGATATGTAGAGAAATCTGTCCTTCTAAAAATGTGTTTTAATTCCTACCTTCTCAGGTTTTCAGGTTATGGGTAAAGGGCCTGGAGGCCCACCGTGCCCTTCTCTCCATCAGGACAGCAAGATATATCACTTCAAGCAGATGTCCTTGACTGGAGGCACATAGCACAAGCTTGGGTTTCCAGAGGTTCGGCCTTTAGAATGCTCTTTAAAAAATTGGATGAGTAGCCAGTATTAAAATCTGGATTTCTGGTTTCTCGTGAAAAATGGCAAACTCTGACAATAACAGATAGGGCCACCTCCTTGGCTTACGTCATCCCGAGTCGTATGTAAATGCCCCTCCCTGGAGTTGTGCTCTGGGGCTGGGTCTGCCTACTGCCTACACGGGACAAATGTCCGGCACCAGGATCTCTTCCTTGGCCAGCTTTATGTCATCGCCTGCTTGGCTCCTGCAGGCCTCTGAGTTTGCCTCCCCACTACAGGTGAATCAGGTCCGGGAGCTCAGCGCCGGTGTGCTGGCTCCCCCGCTGGGGCCCCAAGCAGACTTTCTGGGTACAAGTGGGCTCGGTGAGATTGCTAGGCATGTCTCCTTCACTCTGTCCTCTCTCTCCGGAGCTGGACGCTGGACCCCGCAGGCATGGAGCGAATGCCGAGGACGGTGGCTAGCCCCGGCTAATAAGCCACGCCATGTCACGTCAGGGGTGAGCAGTGTGCCTGACACATTGTCAGTGCTCACGAAACAGTGGCTGCTATGATTACCATTGTGATTGTTATTTGATAAGAGAACGGGGGTGGGGGGTGTGCGAAGAGGTTAATAATAAATATCGTTTAATATTGATAAATATTGATGTTATAAACATCGATAATAAATATTGTTGTCTGGTAAGCGAACAGGGGGGCGCAGACGAGGGTGCCCAGGCCCGCAGAGGAGAGGGCACACCCCTACTTTGAGTAAGTAGAAAGGACCAAGTCTCCAGCCCCTTGGAGCCATGCCCGGCCTCCCCGCCCCCAGGCACAGGACAGAGAAAGTTTGCTGGCTGCTGGGTCCCCCAAAGGACAGTGTCCATTCCCAGGGCTGTGGCTCCCTCAGTGCGGGGAGCGTCCCCAGGGTGCTGGGAGAGAACGTACCAGACGGAAGGTCCGCAGCACCGACAGGCTGCCCTTCTTGGCCGCGCCCAGCTCCATCAGGCTCACGGTGACGATGATGCAGTCAAAGATGTTCCATCTCTTCTGGAAGTAATAGTAGGGGTTGAAGGCAATGATTTTGAAGACCATTTCAGCAGTGAAGAACACAGTAAAGACCTGTGGTTGGAAACAAGGGTCCATCAGGGTCTGTGGGGTCAGGGCATCATGGCAAACAGGGCAACAGGCAAACGTCTGGTTTAAAACTGAAGCAGCAAAGTCTTTTGCCTTGTTTTCATTCGGTTTCTCTATCATCTGCGGGCTCTTGAGGGACTGGGGTGGGAACACTTAGCGGCAGCACAGAGTAACCTCCGGGCCAGTAAGACCCTCCGTGGAATGTGCTTGGGGGACGCATTAGAACCAGGCTCAGTGTTTCCACAGGAATGGAAGCAGAGGTGGGTGATCGTTTGGATAATAATTATTGCATAACTGTCTAAATGAGACGTCAGTCTGGGTGAGCTGTCTACAAGCTTGGCTTGCGGGGCAACGTAGACCTAGATAAAAGTTCAATTCAAGGGCGCCAGGGCGGCTCAGTCGTTCAAGCGTCCGACTTCAGCTCAGGTCATGATCTCACGGTTTGTGGGTTCGAGCCCCACTTTAGGCTCTGTGCTGACAGCTCAGAGCCTGGAGCCTGCTTCGGATTCTGTGTCTCCCTCTCTTCCTGCCCCTCCCTGGCTCGTCTCTGTCTCTGTGTCTCTCTCAAATAGAAATAAACATTGAAAAAAAAGTTCAATTTGGCCGTGTTCTAGCTTATAAAAGCCTGCACAAGTAATGCACCCTCTCTGTACCTCTATTTCCTCATCTGTGTAATGGGCATAAAATGTGATAATGCATATGCAGTTCTTAGCAAAGGTCCTGGCCAATATAACGCATTAATAAATAATAGCTGTTGGACTAGAAGAAGAAGACATTATCTAAGATTCTTTCAGTTCTGAGTGTCTTTAGTTGTCTTCAACAGGAGAGGATTCTGACACTGAGAGAGGTCAGGCCCAGGCTCAGGTCATAGGACCAGCAGCGGAAGGGAGACGGGTCAGGAAGAGGGTCAGGTGCCAGTCTCTCATTTGCTCTCAGCAAAGCCTTTCGCCAGCCTGGGTTGGCAAGTGACCTGCCTAATACCACAGACCGCAACTGTATAATTCAGAGAGCATGCCCTGGGTATCACTTGTGGGCAAGTGAGGCGTGGCCGGGGTGGGGCTGAGGTCCTGGGTCCTACGGAGACCTGAGTCCTGGGTCAGTTGGCTCCACTGTCACTGGCTGTGCCATGTTGGGCAGGATGCTTAACCTCTCTTAGTCTCCGTGCCCTCTCTGGGGCCGTGAGGGTGGCGAGAGCCTCATAGCACGGTTGTGTGGTGGATATCACGCTTACGAGGCACCAAACGCTGCCTGCCCTTCTTGCTGCCTTTGAAGCGTGGCGCCCTGCTCCGGCCCAGCCATAAAGGCCTTTTTTCTCTCTCGTCTCAACTTCTCAGCTCTAAAGTGAGGGTGTGGGCCCAGAGATCTCTTCCGTGAGACCCTCCGTGGTCTGTGCTGACTTCTTGGAAATAGACTCTTCCTCCTCTTTCCACTTCCCCTCTTCATGTCAACTTTGAATAGAATGTGGCCTCTCGGGGCGCCTGGGGGGCTCAGTGGGTTGAGCATCCAACTCCAGCTCAGGTCTGGTCTCACTGTTCGTGGGTTCGAGCCCCGCACGGGGCGCTGTGCTGACAGCTCAGAGCCTGGAGCTGCTTCCGATTCTGTGTCTCCCGCTCTCTCTGACCCTCCCCCACTCACGCTGTCTCTCTCTCTCTCTCAGAAATAAATAAACATTAAAAAATAATAAAAATAAAAGAATGTGTCTTCTCAGCCCAGGTGCTGCCAAAACATAAGGCACGCGGGAGCCGCAGTGTCCCAGAACCTGCTGGAGACTTCCGGGGACTCTGGGGGAAGGGAGGGCTCTAGGGAAGAGTCATCACACTGCCCCTGAGACCCCTCTTTCTGTTTAAGTCTGCAGCCTACAAGGAGTCGGAAGAGCTGGATGGTCCTGGTGGACCCAGTTGGCATTTCCAGGGGGGTGGACGCTGCAGTGGACACGGAGGCGGGACCCTGACCTTCCCAGCTTCTGCTTATCATGTAACAAGTCCAGTATGTGCTGTATCTTGTTAGAAGCAAATAATACCAAAAGGGAATAATAATGGAGGACCATTCAAAGTAGTGTCCTGTCTAAACCAGATACAAAAGAAAAGCTCTGGCTCCCTGGTGCTTCCGTGTCCCCTCCCTTTCACTGCCTTCCCAGCCCCTCCGACTGTCTGCCCTTCAATGGCATCAACGGAAAAACTACCACCACTGTGATTTGCAGTCATAAAAGCAACAAAACTATGAGGGAATCTTGCAATTCCACAGACTGTCTTTAGATGGGAAAGTGACATTTATCCTCATTTCAAGGTGGAGGCAGCTGAGATCCAGAGAATTCAAGAGCCTGACCTGAGTCCTATAAAGAGGGAGCCAGTTCCCCTTGGGCAGGACTCTGGGTCCATCTCCCTGCACTGGTTTGTCCCAGTGCAATTCCCACCGGCTCGGCCTGGCCCTCCAGACTCGATTTCCTGCCCACACGTCTCCAGCACTGCCCCTCTGCTAGCGAGACCAACACTGCAGCGGCTGAGGGCATGCGCCCACCCCACCCGAGCCCCCTGCCACCACAGCACTCACGATGTTGCCTATCTGGAGCATGGCCTCGAAGTCGGGGCTCATGCGGTGATGCTCCATGGCCATGAAGAGCGTGTTCACCACGATGCACAGGGTGATGGTGAGCTCCGTGAAGGGGTCTGTCACTATCCCGAAGAGAAGCGTCTTGAGCTTCACCCACGTGGGGCAGCACTCCCAGATCAGGTACTTCTTAGCCAAGCTGACCAAGCAGGGCGGGCACCTCCGTTCAGACTCCTCGAACTCTGTATCACAGTTGTGGTCAGTGCCGGTCGTCAGTCCTGTGTCTCCTCAGACCCCACCCCCGGGCACCTTGTCATTGCTAATAGCTACCACTTGCATTCCCCACCCCAGCAGCTCGCTCTGGTGACCGTTTCCCACTTTCTGAGCTCCTTCAGTGCAGCGAGCGTGGTCCAGTCTCTGTCCCCACTCAGTCCCCCGAAGCGCGGACTTTTTAACTGCCCGTTGCCGCTGTCACGCTCTTAGTTCTTAATGCTCCCAGCTTAGACTTCATGTGCCCCCGCTGTGTGCCCCTTTGCAGACACCCTTGGCTCCCTTGTCCTTCTCCCCTCCTCGCCTCCCCTCAACAGGCAGACTTCCCTGCCCCGGCGCCAGCCAGGCGAACCGGGTTAGGAAAACTACACAACCGTGCTGACCGGCCCCACCAGGGAGTCGTGAGTCCCAGCCGGTCGTGGTAAGAAATCCTGCCACGTTTCTCCGTTTCGGGCCCCTCCTTCAGTTGTGCAGACCAGCATTTCTCACCTTCCCTCTCTCCTCCAACCCCCCATCCATGCCTCGCTTTCTCCTGACCAGCTCCCTTTGACTTCCCTCAGAGCATAGAATCACTCATAAAAGAACCTCCTCTTCTTCCTCTCACTGAGTCTCCAAGGAATCCACAAGTCCACCCCCCTCATGTTCTGCACCACCCCCCCGGCACACAGCTCGCTCTACTCCTGCCTGTGCACCTGGCCAAGGCTTGTGTCCCCCCTCTCCCTCCCCTCTGGACTATTCCCATCAGCATGTGAGCATGCTTTAAGTGTAGGTCCACTTTTTAAAAGATCTCCGTGGACCACATGCTATCCTTCAACTACTGACTCCTCAGCAGCAAAATTCCTTGTAAGAGTTTTCTACACTGAATTTTCCCTATTTTCTCACTTCCTGTTACCTACCTGACCCCTGGAATCAGGCTTTTACCTCGTCCCCATTTAAGTGATCATTTCCCAATTACCCCTTGCTCTGCCTCTCACAGCATTTGACAGAAGTTATAACACTGTCCCTGAATTCCCTTGTCTACTTCCAGGACATCATTATCTCTTGGGTTTTCTCCCATATCAGTGACTGCTTCTTCTTAATTTCAGGTCGTGTCTTTCATCTTCTTCCCTCTGAATGAGGGAGATCTCAAGCATTTTCTCCCTGATATTTCTTTTCCCCCCCCTCTCTAGGTAATCTCATTGAGCCTCATGGCCCTAAAACACCATCGGTATATGATCTCCCCCAGATTGTATGTTGAGTTACTGATTTTTTCCCTAAGCACCATGCTCATTTTTAGCTGCTTCCATTAAATCTCCACGTACATGTGCATCTGGAGCCACTTCTACAGAAAGCAACCGCATAGCTTTAGATCTATCTATAAAATTACCTGTAAGATATGCATTCTGCAGATATACCAGCCCGCAAGGCAAGGAAAGATGACGTCCATTGCTTATATAATAATAATAACAATAATAATAGTAATAACAGAAACCATTGATAAAGTCCATTAAGAAGAAAGATGAGGCAGACTTATTTATAGAGATGTAAAAAAACACAACCTTATATACGTGTGTGCGTGCACGTGTGTGCGTGCGTAGAATACGGCGTGAAGGCTGTCAGAGAAACTAGAGGAGCACACTGAAAGACGGGGGTACTGGGGGCAGGAAGGCCCTTTACTGCGAAATACACGTTTCCCACTAAATGTGCACTTGCAGCACTTGAACTTTTGGTTGTACGTATTATTTCAAAAGAAATGAATCCATAGAAATAAATGTATCTTCCCACATTTTGCGGTTTTATTTTCCTGTAGGTAGATACGAAATTTATATGTAGTCACATTTGTCCACATTGTTCTTTATGTTTTCTTGCATCTGTGACTTGCAAAGAACCCATTTTCATCACAAGATGTGAAAAATTCCTATTCCCATCTCTTTCTAGTTCTTCTGTAGTTTTACCTCTCCTTTAAAATTTTGGTGCATTTGGAGTTTATTTTGAGTAAGGAGATATTGATCCAGTTTATTTTTCCCAACATCTTGTTATTTATATCACCACTGTTTGTTGCATAATATCTCACTTTTGAAAGGATTTGAAGTTTCATTTTGATCACAAGTTATCTCCATGTATCCGTATGTCTTTATATGCACATGTCCATTTCTCTTACGTAGATCAAACTATTTTTTCAATATCACACAGTTGTAATGACTTATAATATTTAAAAGTCTTTAAGATCTTTAAAACATTTTGTCAAATAAAGTGAAAAAATGACTGAGAAAAATAATTGTGGCTCATGTCGTAGACAAAATGCTCATTTCATTAATATGTAAGAACTCTTAAACATTAATGAAAAAAAAGACCAACCTAGCAGAAAAATGATTAGGCAATTTCTAAAGAGAAAATTCGAATGGTTTATAAATATTCAAAAAGATGTCCAATGACACGCAAAATGAGAGAAATGTAAGATAAAGCTATACTAAGACATCTTTTCATGGATCTGATTTGCAGAGATAAAGATAGTTTGATAGTTGTGTTTGGGAGGGTGTGCACTGACAGGCAGTATCATCCATTGCTTGGGTGGGTAAGAGTTGATATATTTACATAGAGCACCCATTATCTTTCGATAAGTGCCCGAAAATGCCTTTTTCCCTATGACAAAGTGATTTCACTTCAAGGCATTTAACCTGTAGTACATGTGGAAAGTGATGTAGTGACTGAAGAATTTACTTCCCATCAAGAAGGGAATGATTAGCCAAATTATAGAACCATCTATACAGTGTAAATACTAACATTTATTGCAAAGTGTAAGGATACAATGTAGGATGATTTTCAAAATAGATTCATCGAAAAAACATTATGGCACAGAATAGGATATGTGGTATGCTACCATTTGCAAGGGAGAGAAAAAAAAGACTATATATTTTTTATTGAACATACTACATAATTTCAGGAGGGAAACACAAAACAACTGGTTTGGACATTGTTTCCGGAGAAGAGAGTTGGGGGGACAGACAAATATTTCCTTTTTTTAATGTGCCCTTTGGTATCTTTTAAATTCTATATAACATGTTGCTTATTCAAACAATAGCGTTCTAAATAAAAATTTGATAGAGAGATTTTATTTAAAGCAATGAAGTAAGGAATATGCTGCCCCTTCTACTTCCAGAAATCAACAAAAGCATCAAGGAGACTGAGAAATAGAAATGCAAATTGTTGGCAGTGATTTTTTGGATTTGATACCAAAATCAAAGTCAACGAAAGCAAAAATAAACACATGGAATACATCAAACTAAAAAGCTTCTGCACAGCAAAGGAAACCATCAACAAAAGGAAAAGGCAACTTAATGAAAGAATATTTGCAAATCATGTATCTTATAAGGAGTTAATATCCAAAATATGTAAATAATTCCTGCAAATTGGTAGCAAAAAAACAAATAATCTGATTTTAAAATGGGCAGAGGAACTGAATAGACCTTTTCCCAAAGAAGACGTGTAAATGGCCAACAGGTACGTGAAAAGATATTCACATCACAAATCATCAGGGAAATGCAATGAAATATCATCTCACACCTGTTAGAATGGCTATCATCAAAGACAAGAGACAGTAAGTGTGGGTGAGGATATTGAGAAAAGGGAATCCTGTGCACTGCTGGGGGGGGGATGTAAATTGGTGCAGGCACTCTGGAAAACAGTCTGGAGATTCCTCAAAACATTACAAATAGAACTACCACATGATCCAGGAGTCCCACATCTGGGTGTATAGTCAAAGGAAATGAAGCTACTATCTCAGAGACATCTGCAGTCTGATGTTTATTGCTGCGCTACTCACAATAGCTAAGATATGGAAACAATCTAAATGTCCGCCAATAAACGAATGGATAAGGAAGATGTGAAACACACTAACACCCCCACACTCCCGCCCATGCATTGGAATATTATTCAGCCATTCGAAAGAAGGAAATCTTGGTGTCTGCCCTCAAACTTGAGGGCATTATGCCAAGTGAAATAAGTCAGAGAGAAAGATACTACACGGTATCATGTATCTATGGGGAATCTCAAAAAAAAAGATGAACTTGTGAGTTGTGAGGGATGTGGTCATAAACCAGTTAGGGAAATCCTTTAACAACACATACACGTATCAAATCATCACAATGTACACTTTAAATATCTTACAATTTTGTCAATCATATCTCAAAAGCTGGAAGGCATCTTAACAGATGAAAATTTTAAAAAAGGAAAGAAAAGAATGTGCTGCCCGTCTACTTCCAGAAACCACTAAAGGCATCAAGGAAACTCAGAAATAGACATGCAAGCTCTATTTTTGATGAAAGTCAGAAACCTATGTACGCTCAAATCATAAGTTATGTGCATAGGCTATCAAATCCTGCACAGGTCAGTCAGTCAGGAGAATGTTCTGAAAGGTCACTGTAAATGACAGATATGTAAACTGGCAAAGCATGGTTTTCTAACGCAGGGGGCACACCCCAGGGGCAAGATCAACCATTTCTAGTTGAAAAACAGGACAGGAAAACGCCCAGCCTTGTAAATCGTCTGAATATCGCTGACCTCGGTTGTCTGGGGAGATATAGAGCCTCAGAGAATCTGCGCTTGCAAGCTTGGAACATGAGCACAGCTCTTTGCCCTAGAAGAACCTCCTGCACAAAGAGAATCCAGAAAGAACGTCTTTCTCTCCTTCTGTTACAGTTAAAGAGATGTCCCTCCTCCCATGAACAGTCTCCACTTATGCATCCCCTCCTGTCACTTCAGGAATTGATGGAATGTTCTCTCTCTTTCCTTTATCTCCAATCTTTCCCGTTCTTATGGATCCTGCCTTTTAGCATGTAAATATGCTTTTATTTATTTTTATTTTTTTTTTTAGGTCAAAATGGACTTTATTTTATTTTTATTTTTAAAATATAATTTATTGCCAGGTTGGCTTCCACACAACCCCCAGTGCTCATCCCCACAAGTGCCCTCCTCAGTGCCCATCACCCCCCTT